TTTTCCCTTTGGAATCTTGCCATTGGACGTTTCAATTTGGATTTGTCCCTTTTAGATTTTCCCTTGGGAATTCTCCCATTGCAACTGTCTCTTTGGAATTCTCCCAGTTCTCCCATGAATTCTCTATTTGGAATTTTCCAATGAATTCCATGGACATTCTCCCATTAGACTTTTCCCTCTGGAATTCTCCCATTGGAATTCTCCATTGGGATTTTCCATCGGGATTTTCCAATTTCTCCCACGAGAATTCTCACATGCAAATTGGCTTAGAATCTGAAAATATTAGTGGCTTAACTAGTTACAAGCTGAATGGCTTAAAGTCTCAACATCTCAATGGCTTAAAATCTTCAAATCTTACTGACTACAAATATCATATTCTTGATGGCTTAACGTAATGGCTGAACATCTTGGATGCCACAAGACACGACTGGAGACCCTTCATGTAGAATTCCAATGGGATCATTTGAATTGGAGAACTCCAAAGGGAGAATGCCAAACAGAGAATCAGATTTTCAACGCTTATTTCAACGCCCGTTTGGAGCCCCTGCTAAGGGGGGAAGCATATTTTCGGGACCGCTTCGTCGGCGCTCATTTTCACGCTTATTTCAGAGTTATTCATATTTTAAGATTTTAGGCCACTGATTTAACGCCCTTAAGATTTAATGGTTTTAAGCCATTGGGATGTTAAGACTTTGAACCATTAAGAATGTAACACGTTAAGCCACTAAAGTCTTAAACTGTTCATTTTGGATTTTAAGACATGAGCATATTACTAGTTTCAGCCATTAAGATGTTCAGACTTTAAGCTATTAAGATTTAATATAAGGCACTAATATTTTAATATTGTAAGCCATTCAGGTTTTCAGAGTTAAATTCATTTAGGTGTTTTTTTTCGGTTTTGAGCCATTACTGTTTTAAGATTTTGAGCCATTCTGATTTCATCAGGCTCAGCCACTACGATTTTAATATGTTCAGCCATTTCAACTTTTATATTTTGAGCCAGTAAGATCTTAAGCCATTAAGATTCTAAGACTTGAAGCCCTTAAGATTTATGACGATTTTAATGCGTTAAGTCACTAAGATTCTAAGGTTTGAAGCCATTAAGATTTGAAGATGTAAATCCATTCCAATTTTAAGACTTTAAGCCATTAAGATGTTAAGACGTCAAGCCCCTAATAGTTTAAGATTCTAAGCCATTCACATTTTCAGAGTTTAATCCATTAGGATTTTCAGGTTTTCAGCCATTAGTCTTTTAAGATTTTAAGCCACTGCGATTCTAGGATTTGAAGCCCTTAACATTTGAGGTTTCATGTAAGCCATTGTTGAGACTTTAAGCCATTCATATTTTAACACGTTAAGCCACTAAAGTCTTAACATGTTCAGCCATTACAGGTTTTAGATTTTCATCCATGAAGATGTTAAAAGTTTAGCCAAACAATTCAATACGTTAAGCCACTAAGATTTTCTGATTTTACGCCCTGAAGCTTTTTCAGATTTTGAGCCATTAAGAGTTTAAGGTTTTCAATCGACCCTCTGTGCCCCTTTGTCCAACATGACATCCAGATAATGCCAATGATGCCGGTGATGCTGGCGATGTTGTGGAGGAGCTGCTGAGGATGCTAAATCAATCCCCCAACGACACCAAAGGATTTAATCTACGGAAAGGGACCGTTTGTTGTCGGCAGAAACTCGAACACTCGCGGTTGTGGGCCTGTTCTTTTGCAGCCAGCTGTGAGGCAAAGAAGTGAAAGGGAGACAAAGTAATCCGTCTGAGTCATGAGGCAGGCCTGCGGCTTGGCACCGAGAACGTCATGGACGGGGGGGGGGGAGTTTGAGGCGTCACGGGCTAGGAAAGGGAGTCCGCTTCCCCCAAAACCTTGATTGGACCCCAGTTGTTGGAGTTCCGGAGTGTACCGGGCGCCGTCTAAGCTTCCAGGATCCGCTCATCGTGCCGGATGTCGAGCCTTCTGCTGAGCAGGTGCTTCAGGCGGGGTGACCGGCCAGCCGGGCCAATGAGGGGTGCATGCGTCCAAGTAGGGGAATGCGCGGAATCTGGCCTATTTGTTCCGAGAAAGGGTGTTGTCCTTGAATGGCAGACACATTGGTCCCCATCAAACGCAGTGTTTTGGGCGATGCAAACGGAGAATCCAAGTACCACCTGCGTGATTGGACTTCGGCTTAATGGTCACAGCCTTACTGAATTCCGAAACCACGCGGGGAAGTGCTAGGCTGACCGCGAGCTTGCGCGAATCTTTGTCGCCATGTTCAAGCAGGCACCACTGTTTCCGGCTGCAGGGGCTGCCATCCAGTCTATATCTTAACAAGCGGAGCCATGGAACGGTGGGTGAAGAGAATCTGGAAGCAAGCCTTGGACTTGTTGATGATTTGGTCGTGGCTTGTTGAAGGCAAAACAGTGAGCTGGACATCTCAGAAGTGGGGTAATTTTCGTTCAGCTGATCCAATGGGTTACTCGATGGATCTAAGGTTCTGCAAGGGGAGCAAGGAGTGCCAGAGTTTGTTTAAGCTCGAATAGCAAGCCAAAGCAAGCCGAAATGCCCTTTCATGTTGAGTACCTGGCAGATTAATACGGGGTGTCCCCCAAAAGTGAGGGCCTCTCTTAAATGGCACCCCCAAACTGATGTTGCAAGCGGGGGTCTTATTCGTGGGTTCCCTGCTTCGTCGAAGCAGGAACATGCTGGGAATAACCAGTTGCCGGAGATTGTGATGATTCGGATTAAAGCAGTGTGGGACAAAGCAGTCTTCTTCACCCTGACTGCGACATGGTGCTAGCCCTTCTCCGAGATTGCTGATGATCCACCCGCCCAATTCGAGCTAGTGCCTTCTCTTCAGTGCAAAATCGCAAAATGGTCGTCCTGGGTCCTGGAATTCCCATCCAGGTCGAGCTGTGCTTCAGATCGAGAGAGGGCTTGGAAAGGTTCCACTGCGAGACACAAACAGCCCGTGGCCATGGCAATGTGGGTGTGGGTCGAAATAACACCATCAGGGGACCGCAGGTTTTAGTCCATGTTTCCATTTACCAGGGTTCCATTTTGGGTACCTATTTTTGACCCACAGCCATGTAGGAAAAGGGGCGCACGGTGCGACACGGTGACTGCCACTTCCCGGCCAGGCCTTGAAGAAGCGTCTCCGCATCGTGTTCCGCACCAACAAGCAGGCAGCCACGGCCAAGCGGCTCTGGGGCAAGGCCGCAGGCGCGGGCGGTGACTTCCCCTTTCGGCCGGCTTACTTTTTGGGCCAACCGGATGTCTGGACAAAATCTCTTGCATTTCGTGTTGGGCTTAAGCTGATTGATGGATTGTTCTTCGGAAGGAAAAAGAAATAGATGTGATCTTAGTGCTAGACAGAAGACAGCACTGGCACGTTTTGTGCGCGGAGTCCCCTTAGCTCTTCAGCCTGTCCGCACTTGCACTGCTTGACAGAGATATGATATGATAGTAGGGCAGGTTACCAAACACCAGTCCATCCTCAGATTTGGGGCCACTTGCCCTAAAAAGAATCATCAAATGGCAGGTCTCAAACACCAACTGTACCCAATGGCACGCTCCACAGGCGAGGTGCGGGTGCTGTCCATGCCCGGCAGCGTCTTGCTTCGGACTGATGCTGCATTTGTTGGCCTTCCCCCCCAAGAAAGAGGATGGACACCAGCGGATATTGAAGGGTTTGTGACCTCCTTTGAGCAATTTGGGGGCCATTTGCCAGCCAGCACTGCCCTGGTTGATTTGATGGGTTGGCAATGACTATTTGCTTCCTGTTGGTTTCCCTTCACAATCGAGCCTGCGCAGAGACGATATTTTGTAGTGAAACCGTTTTAATCTGATGGTGGTGGATGTTGTGGATCGAGACATGTACATGTAATTGCGGGATTCCCTGTTTTGGGAAACCACGACATGGAGTGCTCAGATCTCCCTTCCGGCCATTCCAAAAGGTCTAAACAGGAATATCAATATTCACCAGGATAAACCAAGTTCCACCTGGCTCGGATCCTGACTTTTGTCTCTCCTATTTGGATCCTGTACCATTCATTTGAACAACTTATTCAGGTGACTGAAGTTGCATGAGCAAGAGCCAGCAACACCAGAGCTTGGGCGTTTAAGGTACCTGTAGTGTTTCTGATCGGAACCTTTTTGTCTCTCTTTCTCTCTCCCTCTCCCTCTCCCTCTCTCTCTCTCTCTCTCTCTCTCTTTTCTGCGTCTCTAGACATGTCACCTTTACTTGTATATATACTATGCACATACACATCACCTTTAGATAGGGCCTGTTAAGAGCCTTTCGCCGAGTCGCCAGTTGACCGGTACAACAGCCCGAGGCAGCGCCCAAAAGGGGGCCTTTGCCGAAGGCGAAGGCGGGTACGGGCTTGGATCCCCAGTCGCTTGCAAGGGAACGATTGCTGCTGTTCACCCGGTGACCAATTTTCTATGTGGCTGTGGGTCGAAAATAGGTACTCAAAATGCAACCCTGGTAAATAGAACCAAGGACTAAAACCTGTGGTCCCTTTGTGGTTTAACTGTGAGCCATACCCATGTTTTGATCTACTTCAAGCTCCTGCTTTATCATATGCTTTTCACGACTGTTTGGAATGCCCCGCAGCCGAACTTGAAAGCAATGAGTACGCATAGAGTCAAAGCCAGAGCAGGCGGAGAGGAGACATTGCCTCCAGTCAAGTCCAGCCAACACTTGCGCCAGTCCAGCCATTTTTGGGTGAACTCCCTTACCTTGTGAGTGAGCTCACGAGGCAAAAGTGAGCTCGGCCCCTGAATGATTTCTCACTTCTGGTGGTGAATTATCTTTACTAGCTGTATCCTTCCTCCTTCTGTTCAGGGATCCTATCTCCAGCAAGCCGGAACTCCGGAACAACAGAAGAATGGGACAATGGGAGGCTGATGAAGAGAGCCATGGGTTGAAGGGGGAATCAATCCAGTCAGTGCATCTACCTTAAGCCGGTCCCACGCGCAGAACCGGGCGCCGCATTTCTGCAATCCATGAAGGTGCGGCGGGAGACAGGTTTTTGGGCCCGATTTGGCTGGGTTTAGCATCACTGCCCTTAGGGGAACGTGGGATATTAACATAGGATTATGTACTGTAAACACCATGCAGACACAAGGCAGTGTGCCGTGTTCCCCTAGAATCACTCCAAGAGGCGGCTGTAGTTTTCACTTCACATTTTGGTTCCAGCCATCTTCCTCAGTCTCTTTAGGGAGCTTGCTCTTCACAAAATGACAAAATGGGCAAAGGGCATCCACGCAAAACAAGTGGTTTGTGAACCCTAAGGGTTTACGTGGTTCAAGTTGAGGGTTTCTTTTGGGGACCAATGGTCTTTCCGTTGAGGTAATCATTTTTCTTGAGCGGAATGGGTGGTTTCAGGTGGGTTGTTGCACCTTTGGGACTACTTGTATCCTGAATTCCTAACCCCCAACCCACGAAAGATTGTTTGCGCTCCAAGTTCTTTCGGTTGGACACCTCCCCAACCGCAGTTAGTTGGCCATGGGTCAAAATCCCGCACCCCCGGTGAACCGGTGATCAATCCTCACTAAAACTTTAGAGCCTCCGGCTCAGGCCGCCGACATTGTCCTCTCCCGCTTCTCCTTCTTCCTCTCTCCCTTGTCTCCTCCCCCGCGTGTTCTCCCTCCCTCTGCTCCCCATCCTCCCCATACCCCCAAGCCTCTCTCTCCTCAATCTCCCTGTCTCTGTCTCTCTCTATCTCTCTATCTCTCTCTCTCTCTCTCTCTCTTTCTCTGTGTCTCTGTCTCTTTCTGTCTCCCTGTCTCCTTCCTGTCCACGCCCCTCTACAGAAAAAGGGCGCCCGTATTCTAACCTCTCTACTGGAGGACCTAGTCTCTCTCTCTCTCTCTCTCTCTCTCTCTCTCTCTCTCTCTCTCTCTCTCTCTTTGTCTGTCTCTTTCTCTGACTCTGGCTCTTTCTCTGTCTCTCTCTCTCTCTCTGTCTCTCTCTGTGTCTCTCTCTCTCTCTCTCTCTCTCCCCCTCTCTCTCTCTCTCTCTCTCTCTCTCTCTCTTTCCCGCTCTTTTTTTGTTTTTGTTTTTTTCTCTCTCTCTCTCTCTCTGCATTGCAGCGTCACGTCCCCCCTGCACTCCCCTTGTTTTCATTTCTGTCCCCTTCATGTCCCTTTCAGTTCCCCTTTGTTTCCCTTTCATTTCCCGTTGCTTTCCTGTCATGTCGACTTCCTATTTCCTCCCCTCATTTCTTTGCAGTTCCTTGCATTTCCCCTGTGCTCCCCAGCATTTCCCGCAAAAAAAACACGGATTTTCCGATAGTGCCCGCGGATGTGGCGCGGAAACTTTTGGGGCCTTGCCCTGCACCACCACCCCCCTCCCCGGCACCACCCCGGGGGTCCTCCACCACCCCCCCTCCCCAGGGGGGCGGTCCACCAATCTTGTTTAGGGCTGGTTTAGGAGTGATTTAGGATTGATTGAGAGTTGGTTTAAGGTTGGTTTAGGGTTGGTTTAGGGTTGGTTTAGGGTTGGTTTCGGGCTGGTTTCGGGTTGTTTAGGGCTGGATTCGGGTTGATTTAGGGTTGGTTTAGGGTTGGTTTAGGGCTGGTTTAGGGCTGGTTTAGGGCTGGTTTAGGGTTGGTTTAGGGCTGGTTTAGGGGTGGTTTAGGGTTGATTTAGGGTTGGTGTAGGGCTGGTTTAGGGTTGTTTTGGGGCTGGTTTAGGGTTGGTTTAGGTTTAGGGCTGGTTTAGGCTTGGTTTAGGCTTGGTTTAGGGTTGGTTTTAGGGCTGGTTTCAGGTTGGTTTAGGGCTGGTTTAGGGTTGGTTTAGGGTTGGTTTAGGAGTGATTTAGGGTTGGTTTAGGACTGGTTTCGGGCTGGTTTAGGGGTTTTGGGTTAGGGTTGGCTCAGGAAAGGGAAAGGGTGGGGGGGGGGGGGTGAGCTGGTGGTGGGAAAGGGAAAGGGGGTCTTGGGGGGGGGGTGGTGGTGCCCGGAAGCAAAGTAATTGAGACCGGGGGGGGGGGGGTGGTGGTGGGCAGGGACCCAAAAGTTCCCACGCCTAAAAAACGGGAACTCTTCGCGAGGACGTCCAAAAACACAGTTTTTTTCCAGATTTTCGGCAAAAGGAGAAAGAGCCGGCAGGGGGATTCGAGCCTGGGAACCCTGTTTGACGACACCGGCCCCCCGAAGAGTATAGGTGTCGGATAGGCAGCCTAAAATGGGTGGTGAGTTCCCCTACCCCCAAAATGGGCTTCGACAACCACAGCCAGTTGGCTTCAGCTGGCGGGTTCCCTCCGCCCCCGCCCCTCCCTGGCCCCCCGCGTCCGACGCCCGGCGGAGGCCTCGGGGGACGGCTTCGTGGTGCTGGTGGCCCCGCGGCGGCGCCAGCTCGAGGCCATCGCCCGGGCCGCCGAAGAGGCGCGCGGAGCGCAAACTCTGAGACCCGAAGAAGAAATCCGAAGCCTTATGCGGATTTTTTCCGTTCTTCGCTCTTTTTTTTTTAATTTTTTTTTTTTGGGGGGGGCAAGTTGATATCATTGTTTTTTTTCTTCCTTTTTTTTTGGGGGGGGGGAGGGGCAGGTGTGAACGATTTCTTTGTTGTCTTGATCCAGGAACTGGATTTTGACCATCCACTGTAGCAAGAATAAGCTTCTGTTTCGCTGATGCTTGGAATCCATGTGGGTGTGGGGCTTCCCCATACAAGCGGCTGAGCATCTGGTGGGCGGTGGGAATGTGGGAAGGTGTCGAATCATGTTGGAGGTTAGCGCTCGACTCGCAGGTCAATAGCAAAACTTGCTTTATCCTGCTCAATGCCCGGCTGCGGGGTGCAAAGAAGGATGCGCTACGAGAGGCCGGCGGGCAGTTCTCTTGGGCGGATGTTCTTCTTCCACCACAAAACTGTGGAGGAACTTTTCTTTCACACCAGCCTGCTACTGGACGATAACAAACGAGGAGTGTTGGTTGGCAGCCTTTCCGACTACCCAGCAAAACCATACCGAAGAACATCAAAACGACAAAGCAAGAGCCACGTGGCCGTGGCAAGGCCCAAGTTGCTCTCTCTGCCAGGAGCTCGCTTCAGCTTTCGCGCCGGCCTTCCACTTGCGCCTCGTCCAGCAAGGTGAGGGCCTCGTCTACCGGGCCATGCAGGCGGGGGCGGGGGGGCGGCGGCCACTCTCAGTGTTCGGAATCCATGGAATTTGAAGAGAGGCTACCAGGTGCAAGTTGAGTTGGGCGGTTTTGGCACGAGACGTGTTTCACTCCAGGAGGGGAGCTCGCCCTGGATCCTGGCACAGAACTCAGTTTAACTAACAAGGCAGGGACTCGGTTCGAGTCGTGCATGTCCCTAGGCACCCAAGAAACACCTTTTTGTTTTTCAAGGGACCTTGTGTGCACAGCAGATGCACCGTGGGCATGTAGCTGAGGGACTTAGTCTGACTTAGTATGCCGCGATGATAGAGGCCCCGCGCCATTGTGTTGAGGCCCGGCGCAAGCTGCCGAGCACTGTTGCTACCGAGGCCCGGCACAGGGCATTGTGCTGGTTTTGCTTTGCCCGTCTGTTTTGGGATGCGTTCAACCAGTCGGATTGCCGCGGTGTCCAATATGTTTGGTCAGCGAGCTGACACATGGTTTGTGGGCTGGGGGCGGTTTTTCATCGATTCCCTGGCACCGCCTGCAAGATGTGGACGATGTTTGAGGTGAATATTGTACACTTCCCCAATATTGGCATCCATTGGCAGGGGCGGTTCCTTTAGTTGCCCTTGATATAAAAGCATTCAAAGAGAGAATCCCCTTTTCTTGGAGACACTCCATTCTATCCTTTCTTCGTTGCTTTGAAGTGATGCCCCAACAGTTTCAACCCAACAACCCCCCCCACCATTTTTCAATCCCACGGCGCAACCCCTTTCGAAGCTCGCTCCAGGTAGCGCAGACCATGGAGGAGCCCAGCGCCGAGCGAATCGCTCAGGTCTTCGCGTGACGACCGAGTGCCCAGAGCTGAGCTCTTCGTTTGCAAAAAAGAATGACCTTCAAAATTTTGGTTTCGCCAACGGGGCTTGATCCCCTTCTCATTCTGCCAGTTTCGGTTTCTCGAACATGGATGTCGCTGAGTGATTTGGGTCCCAAAGGGTTTGGGCGTTTCATTGACAGATTGAGGCTCTTGCTGCTGAACCAGAAGGCAGAGGCATCAGTTATCCATACAGCATTACGCGGAGCATCCTTCGCGGATCGCCAAAGAAAAAGGCCCTCCGCGCGCGCGTGCACACCGGTCCTGAGAGTTGCGCGCAAATGTCACCTCCTCACTAGCCACTGAGGCAGTAGAGGTAGGCTGTACATGACCTGTTTGTTCTCCATGCCAGGATGGCAAAGGCTTTGCCACTCTCATTCCTGAGGAGCCAACAGGGTCTTGTTCGCAAGCCTTTGCCTTGCCCAATAATTTGGCGTCGAGGCTCTGGGCCAAGTGCGCAGGAGTCGGAGGACCTATGGCACCTCTACAACCTCAGCATGTGCGCGGCCGAGCTGCGCCTTTTGGGGTGCGCTATGCCGTGTTTTTTTTGCTGCGGATCACCTTACTGTGAGGAAGGGCGACACCATCAGGGCGATGACCTTCAGAAAGGCGTCTTTGGTGCCAAACGTGCCGTTGCAGGGATTTGGGCCAAAACGGAAGCTTGCAAAATGCCATGCTGGCCTTGCTCGCGTGGCTCAATCCATGTCTCAACGTGCAGTCTTGCCGCTTGCCCGTTGCTTGTGCTCAGAAGCCACAACCACAGAGCTTGAGGAGCCACTGCGTTTCCTTATCAACTCTTGCTGTGCCTCATGGCGGGTGATGCGAAGCGCCGGCTGGTGGGACTGGATGTGATGCGCGGAATCACCATGGCATTTCAGCTGCATTTCCAAGCGGACCAACCGTCAATCGGACCTGGACCAACTCGACCGTCGGCTTGACGATCGTAGTGTTGAGGTGATATGAATGGGGGCAGTTCAGAATGCGATACAGAGGGGAGTCACCCTTGGTGTAGTTCTTTTGATACTGTCCTCTCAGTGCCTCGCTTCCTCTTCCTCCACAATCGATGTGGGCGTGTCCTCCCCTTGAGCGTAGCCCTTTGTTTTGAGAGGAAACCAAAGGGCAGCAAGCCATTTGTGGGTTCCAAATCCAAATTTGGACACCCATGTAGCTTCTTGGTCCACGTGCTCAATCTTCAGGCGGTGATGCTGGTGGTGGACGCAACGGGGGACGCCTACCCCAGCATCGGGCACGCCCCCTGGGACGGTTTACACCTGGCAGACTTCGTGATGCCTTACTTCCTTCTGATTTCTGGGATCAGCGCATCCATCTCCCTCAAGGCTGGCTGGCCCTCGGGATTTTGCGGCCAGCTTTTCGGATGGCCTCAATGTGAGAGCATGGACGTCTCCTCTCAGCTTTGGCTTGCAACAGTTGGGCTTAGTCTTGAGGTTTTCTTCAGCGAGCTCGCACGGACACCAGTGGATCTTGGGAAAATCCAAAGACCTGTCACACGGGTCACCCGTCTTTTCCCCGAGACGGCAACGGCAAGCAAGCAACACCCCTGAGGTTCGAAGCGGAGAGAGGGCCGCTTGGTTGCAAGAGAGCTCGCAACACTGGCTCAGTTCCTAAAGCTTGTGTTGTGAGTTTGAAGATTGGTGCGGCAGCTTCTTTTTTTTTAGAGAAAGAAACAACATGAGCAGCCACTTGGTGAGTGGCGCAGTTGGCTGAAAGGCTACTACCATCCTAGTGCGTGTGGCCTGGCGTGCGCTGCGGCTTTTCCTTGTAGGCCGGCGCCCTAGCTTGTGCGTTGGGCGCAAAGAGCCGACCTGGGGCCATGGACCCGACAAATCGGAGCCATATTGTTTATACAACCTTGACTTCTTGCAGTCTTTGATTTGAATATGTAGTCGAACCCGCCTAGTGGACCCCGCACCTTGAGTTTGTGGCACTGGATTGCCGAGCCCACCAAACATTGCTCACAACAGGTTCGGTCAAACTGTCCTTCATCTCAGCTTATCTCATCTCACGTCATGGTCTCCATCAAGTCACCACGGGGCAACTGCGCCGCGCGGCGAACCGAGGCTTGGCGGTGCAGGGCAGTCTTTTTCACGACTCCCAGGCGCGGTGGCGCTTGGAAAATCAACAACCTCCAGCGCCCAGAATCATGACATTGGGTTTTATGGTACCCCACAGCCCCACACGTTTGAGCAGCGGTCAAACGTTCTTTGAAGACACGCAGTCTTGGGGTGCCAAAACGTCCTTTGATTGTGCGGAAGAATGGCAAAGGGTGCGGAGCTCGCGGAAGCTTCGGAGCACATGGCAAGAAATGTCGCCGCGGAAGGCCGCGCAAGCACTAAAATGCAATAGGTTCGCACCAAACGGGCAACAAAGTGTTTTTTGAGCCATACATTTTCCGTTGTTATTTTCTTTCAACCAACCTGCTTGGTTGAATGCTTCGTCCGAGAAAACAGCCAGTTCCAAAAAACGATGTGTTTGAGCCAAACAATTAGCCGCACAAGTTGTTAGTAGCTTTTTGTTCCCATTTTTCGCCCGACCTCGCCCAATAACCAGAGCATGCAGAAAAACGAAATGCACCTGGGCGAGGGGAGCATGCCTCGCGGGCAAAAGTGGCATCCGGACACCTGCCCTGCTCTACGCCTTGGGCTGGCCACAAACCCAATCATACAGCCAGCCAAGATGACTAAAAATAATTAGAAACAATTATCTACTGTAAGATAGTGCTTCCCCCTCCATCATCTCTTAATTCTTGCATGTCACTCACGGCAGAGAGAAATGGAGGCGGGAGGACATGGAAGGAGAAAGAGAGACAGATGGAGAGGTGACCAGCCAAGAAGAGCGCAATGGCTTTGGTCACCATTTGTTTTCTCCCTCACTTTCTGCCTACCGCCTCACCTAAGAAGATGAAGATGGAGTTAGGATGTAGAAAGAGAGGGAAATTAAAACCCGGAAGTAAGACAAGACAAAACATCATGAATCATGAAGGATTAACTGGTTGGGGAACGAAGAGAGAGCCATCAGGTGATCCACTTCTCAGTCTTGATTATCCTATCCCTTTACCGCTTCCAGCGGTGAATCCTGGAAACGAGAGAAAGAGGATGAGATTGAGGGAAAAGGTAGATGTGGATGACCAGTCGAAAAGACCGCTGGGGAATAGAGGCAGGTCAAAGCCAAAACCGTGGCGCTGTGCTTGAATTCGGCTCTTCCGCATGCGCGCCAACCACGGCCGCGACGCCCGGGTGCGGAGCGCGAACCCTTTTCGCACTTTAGTTCCTTATATTCTGAAGCTTCCGCCCGTTCGGTTCTACCGGGCTTTGCTGGCATAGGTATGCCTATTTGCTTCGGTATGCTCCCATTTTCATTTGTGAGCATCCTGCATGTTTTTCTTAGCATCTGAAGAAATTTATGCCGAGAAACACCGAGGGATTTTCTTGGGGTCGCCTGAAGGGAGATGTTTTTTGCTTTGATGCAAAGGGCAAACCGCACGCGTCAAATCGCGCTACTCCCCAAGGTTGCCTCAGGGTGTGAGTGTGGTCCGCAGGTTTATCCTAGGGCCGTGCCTGTTTTGTGGCAGTGTGTACGCATAGGCGAGTAGAGCTTTGTCAGAACTGACCCGGCCCTGTTTTAGCAGTGGTCGCAGAACCGATGAGAACTGCTTATTTTTGTTCAGTATTGCTTTTTGCTTGTTCGGGACCAAGGCGAGGCCGCGGCTTGCACTTTTCTCGATCTCCTGCAATCAATTCACATTGACATGTCGCATCGAAAAGGCTGGAGCTGGCACTTTGGATAGCTTTGCAGGTTGTCTCGGATTTGTTTGCTGGGAACGCGGGTTTCGATGAGAATGCAAACGCCACCTTCATTTCGGTGGGAAGTACGTTTGCGGGGTGCGGATGTATGGGGTCTCCGCCTTTGCCTCTTTACCCTGGATCCATAGCATGGCTCAGTCAAAGAGGCAACACCCTGTACAAGTCTTTTGCCTCTTTACCCTGTGCCCTGTATATCTGGAACCCGGTCACTTTCCGGTCACTTTTGGTCTTCAGGCAGGGCCTGTGCTGGCTTTGGACCTCCGCTCCTTGCGGATCATGGGCATCCTGCAGCAACTCGGGCTGGCTGTGGCCCCGAATTCACCCACCAGTCATTGATTGGGGGCCCCTGGAAGAAGCGGAACCCCGCTGAAAGGCGACCCTATTGATCATGGGTAGCCATTCGATGAGTTTGGAAGCGACCGCCCTGTGTCACTTTTCCAATGCTGATGGCACTGAAGACCGTGGCTTGGATCGGATCGAGGCGAATCGCGGTGGTCTTTGTCATCGAAACTCGGCCACATTCAGGGAAGGGACAATCCCCTCTTTTCGCATGGAATGGTCTTTCCTTCATACCAAGCCCCCTGCAGCCTTGACACCTGCAAATTCTGTGGTAAGCCCCGAAATGGCACCAAGGGGAAAGAACTGAAGCAGTTTGCAGGAAGCAGCTTTTGCTCAGGTGGCCGCCATTGAACTCTATGTGCCCGCCAACGTCCGAAGTAGATCTGAGCCGCTCCTGCGGACAGAAAGCGCAGGCGCGGAGACAGGGGAATCCCGGGACCCCTTTTGGTGGATGGCTTTGAAGGGAAGCCAAAAGGAAACCGCCCCCTGTTGTGGGAACCCTCATGACGCGCAGTGAAACTCGAACAAGCCACACTCCCGTTTGGGCGCTTGAAGCAGACCACTTGCCAGTGAATTCAAAAAATAAAACACCCCTTGTTAACCCCCCCCCCCCAGGGAAAAAAAACAAAAAACAAGCAAAACACAAAAAACACCTCCCCCCCCAAACGAAGCCCCAAAAAACACACTGGAAAAGAGCGCCGCGCGCCGCAACGGCCAAGTCGCGAGTACAGCGAAGCGGCGCGAAGAGGGTCTTGTGACAAAACACAAGTTCCTGAATCCACGGTTTTTTAGGCATCAAGACTTGTTCTTGGGATGGACTCAGATCCGCTAGGCCTGGGCTTCTGGCTGCTGCCAGCCACAGCTTTCAGATGGGCAGCGCCTTGGCATCTTTGTACTCGCTTGTGAAAGACAAAGAGGGTCTTGGTGAACCAGTCGGAAAATCATTCAGGGCTGCCCTAAAAACCCAGAAAGCCAAACCAATTCTCTCGAGGGCTGGTCAGAGGCTCGGAAATTTTCGGGTTCTTCCAGAGAAGTTTTGGCAATGAACCTGGGCCCCCTCTGAGAAACCAGGGATGGTTCAGTTCGGCGTCATTCCAACTCAACCGGGCGGTAGGCATATCCCTGCCGAGCACCAAACCAGATGTACCAACATATCTTGTTATTGCAACAACATCATTTCTCATCTCCCCAACACTTTTTGTTTCATCCCGGATCAAACTAAACCACTCAAAGGGTTGGGTTACAGGAAATTCTACAGTAAAACAGCTCATGTAGGGTGTTCTGGGGCCGTTTCCTGTAGATTTCCCTGTTGAACCGCCCCCCCTTCATGGCGATGTCGGGCCAGCCAGCGCCTTCAGCCCAGGTGGCCCTGGCGGTGGCGGCCTGTGGCGCGGTGCTGACGTACGCGCTGCGGCCGCCGGCCACGTGGCCCGGCTGCTCACCGGCGGC